ACACAGACAAACCCGTAACAATATGCGTTTTGTACTGCTGTTACACAGCACAAAACGCATAATAAAGGGTACATCAAATGTAGGTCAAAAGCAGATTCAGGATGAATGCAAAGGTTAGAAGCTTGCGTTACCCGAAAAAGGCTTAGGCTACCCAAAAGTTGGTCCCAGCGTGTAACTTATGAAATAAGGACAGAAAGGGATGACAAGTCATTACGAAACATTTGGTTCGTGAAATATCGAGAACAGTGACAATTTGCACCCACCTATGCGACCCAACCGTTCCAAAATTATTGTTCACGTATGCCTGCATCTTATGTGCGGACGCCAAAAACAGTAAATTTTTTGACGGGAAGACGATATCGATAAGGGCAAGATAGAAAACTGAAATTTCGCAGGGATGTTCTATTGTGTGAGTTAAAGTGGTTTACTGTTAAGCAAAATGTACAGTGCTTTTGTAATTACAGTGTAAAAAATATGATGCGGAATTTTCAGCTTTGCAGCAAGCATGTTAAATTACGGCTTGCTGTTTAATATGGAAAAACTAACTGGCTCAATTTATTCAAACAATATATTTCTTGGTCTAATAAGGTAAATGCCTCGGTTATCATTAAGCCGAAATTATCTTCAGAAATGTGGTGAAATGTCATTTTAAATTTGTTGCAAATTGAGCCGAAAGATAATTGCTTTGATACATTAGTTAGCTATTATTTTAATAGGTCGCATTTTTTAGCCTTCAGTAGAGCTGGAAGGCAAGCATAACCCAAGTACCAACGCAGGTACCAAGCAAGTATCAATGCACACTAAGGTTTCCGGTTCGATCATGCGTTTTTTTTCTTTTTGCTTGAAATTTACCACATCCCTATGCAAGATGCTCAAGTGCATGAAAGCTGCTATTAGGTTTTCTTTTCCCCACAGAATCAGGCAGTATTGTCATAAGAATTGAGCTTTTTTGCCTACTCGAATGCCAAGCGGGTAGGATGACGAGATTGTTACAGTGAATATTTGATATGTCTACACGCGGGGTACATGCGTGAGCAAATCCCATTTTACGCTTCCTGGCACTAACATGAACAGTAAACACTCGTGGAAAAATGCTGCTTCCTGCTTAGCCTGATAACTAAATTAATCAGGTGCTGTTAAGTCCTCACATGACCTTGACTGCAGCAGCGGAAGACAGGGAAGAATACCAGCACTTTATTCTTCCAACAAGGGCTTCGCTTCAAGTAAAACGACGAACCGGGACGCCGCACAAGCCGTTCAGCAGAAAGAGGACGCTGGTGGTGTTGAGGCGAGACGCTAGTAGCGTTGGTAGTGGCAGAACAAAGCAAACGAATGGCGCTTGATTTCTAAAACTAAGGGCCTGGCTTTTAGGAGGGGGTTTATATAGGGAAAATTAATGAAAGGAAAAGGAGGGCAAGGTAGTTAGCGAGTGAGAAGGTAGGTAATATGGAATTATTTGGAATTTGATGGAACTGTTAGAAATTAGTGAGAGGAGGGAAATAGGTGGAATTATAGGGTTACAGTGCCAATAGTGCCACGAACTAGAAATTCGCTAGCTTGCACGCAAGAAAAAACGAAATATCTGAGGTGAATTTGAAATATTTAGGTCGCATATAGGCACAGAATGTTCTCAAAAAATTTCAGCTTCCTGGACTGGCTGGTTGTTGAAACAGCTTTTTATGCGTTTTTGCCTATATGCAAGTTGCAAAAACGAATATTACAATGACCTTGTCTGTGTATGAAAGTGTATGTCTGTGTGTGTGTGTGTCCCGGTATTTCAACTCGGCAACCAAGCAAGCTTCAGCGCCAAAATTTTGCTAGTGGGTTTCCTGGTCAAGCGCCACCCAAAACAGCGGCACTAACTCTTGCGCAAGTCTGAGCTCTCCCGTACGAGAGGATGAAAGTTTTGGCAGGAAAAATGATAACTCGGAAACGAGAAGGATAGGAGGATGAAATTTTGAGGTTATGTTCCCCTCTACATACAACTCAAAGGTTTCAGATTCAGGTCCCAGTCGTACGAGTTTCTCACATACGGCCCCGGGAAATTTTTTGTCTTGAAAATGGCTGACTCGGAAACTAGCAAAGCCGGGAGGTTGGAATTTTCAACGGAAGTTTCCAGCCCGTGTACGACTTAAAGTTATCAAATTCAGACCCCAGGCATATACGATTCTTACATACAGCCTCGTGAAACCTTTTTTGCAAGAAAATTGCTAACTGGGGGACCAGAAAAGCTGGAAAGCTGAGATTTTAGGAGAATATTCTCCGTCCAAATACAACTTAAAGGTTTCGAATTCAGCCTCCATGCACGCGTAGTTCTCGTGCACGGGCACGTAAATTTTTTGCGGTAAAATTAATCATTGAACAGCTGAGTCATGTTCAAAAAACGACCGCTAAACGCAAGTTGATTATTTTCTTTTATGCAAAATTTACGATGACTTACGGTATTGAACGCGCAATGTAGATGTGAAAAAACAACCGTTTGTTCAGTTAACCTAATTACTTCAAGTTTGTTGTAAAAACGCGTGATCGCACCGGCTCGCTTGGTGCGTTCCAGTCTGGGTTCGAGCCCAGAAATCGTCGTTATAGCGCTACACAGCAAAAACGCATAAAAGCGCATGAACCCGAACGAGCCCGAACGCATAATAAAGGTGTGCGTTTAAATTCATTTGCGTCTAAATGCTCGCACGTGGAAAAAATATTCTTATAAATGCTCTAATCAGCTTGTTTCTTAATTTTACATTTTGCCAACGACTTTTTTTTATTTCAACTTTGATGTTGCAACACATGTGATGTGAGTGACAAAAAACACAAACAGACACACACATACACACACACACACACACAAAACTTTTTGCCAGTATGCGTTTCTGCAGTTGTGTAAATGCAAAAATGCATTAAAATGAAGTGATAAAAAACTAGTTCCAGTTTGTTTCCGGTTAGTGATTAAAGTGGCGTTAGAGCAAAATGAAATGTAACTGGTACAATGTATAACTTAAAATGACTGTGGTGTTTTCAGTCCGCTAGGTTTCAAGCATTGCGATTAAATTGGATATTGTGCAGCGCCAAACGTGGTTCTTGCAGAAGTCAGTAATGCGTTATTATCTGCACAACTCGCTTCCGCAACGTATTTTATTCATATAAATCGTTTATACAAGGCGCATGACGATGGAAGCCATTTCAGATACGCAATAAATGTCACTTGGGCCGTGGCTGATTATACGCAGAAATGGTTTGACCGGCGGGTCGCGCACACAGTTCCATTGGCGTTTACGGCACTTGGATTTCTGCTTCACTTTCTAGTCGTTTGTTTAGGTCGATTACTTTAAGAATTAAATCGACGTGTTCTGTGGGAATCTCTTTTGAAGTGATTTAAAGTCCCAGCACGTATACTAGGCAACCGCTTTAACTGCATACGCGTCCCGTACCCCCAATATCGAATTTTTGGGCAAATGTTAAATTTTACGAAGAAAAACTTAAAGATTAAGTTGTTTTCTCGTAAAAGACCTGGCTTCATCTTTTTATTTTAAATTTTGGCTACGCACTGGTTAAAATCTACAAAAATTAGTAAAATTGTCTTCTCACTGAATATAAAAATGGTCTTCAAGCTACTCTAAATTTATAAATCGCAGCTCCTATCAACTTACCCACGAAAAATTGAGGACTACTTTGAGGAGGTCTAAAAAAAATCAAAGTTTAGGCCGAACGGGAACCAAAAAATTTGATGCTTTGTTTTATCAAGTCGCGCAGTTTGATTTCCGGCTGTTCTAGCTTAATTCAAGTGCAGACCATTCAAATTCTACTAAATCTCATGTCGATTCAGATCTATAAAATTAGTGTTCGTGTTGTTTACAGCCTGCGAAACTCAGTGTCGCGCTAATCGAGTTTTGTAAAACTCGATCTCATTCAACTGGAATCCGCAACTTTGAGCTCTAAAAAATCCGAGAATTGTAAATATAGTTAGATTATTTCAATTTCCAAGCGAGCTATATCATAAAACCCTTTGGTGGCATTTCCAAACACACACACACACACATCGATCAATTAACAGAAGGCCTTCTCTTTCTCTGGATCGTGTGGCACCCATCCTACATCGCAGCTCTGATTATTTATATGAGCTAAAAAAAGATTTTAAGGCTTGCTGTTATTAGCCTCCGTCCTTATTTCAGGGCTTAGCATCCAGCTCAAAACGCTCTCACGTGTAACAGCGTTGTTGGCTTTTGCTATGTCAAGCCAAATTTATATAATCAGTGGCATTGCATCTAATGAGCTCTTTCCAACGCCGATACGCAGCATATGCTTTGCATTTTTACAAGTGGTCAGCCGCATGGGTGTTGTTTTTGCTCCGCAGCTGTTTTTACTGGTAAGCAAGCCAAAGCATTTTGCCAACATACCTATTAGGGACCATCACGATCATGCCTTCTTGCGACGAATTGTTTAGAATAGGATGTTTTATAATGTACCGTATTTGCACATCACATAATGCATATGCAAATACTCAGACTAACGGGAGTGCTACATGCTCTGTATGCTGCAGTTAGTACCTGCTGAGCAAGAAAATTGATAATACGTTTCGCCTAGATACATGGGTATGCAAAATTTTAATTCAATTATTTAACACAGATGCAGGAATCAGGCTGCGGCACATCAGGCTTGCCGGTATGATTATACTTTTTTTGCGCTAAATTCGAAGCAGTCAAGTTATTATCTGTTGCATTACATTTACCTTATGTAGTCATTACCATAAATTTTGTACGAAGAAAAATGAATAATCTTCGTTAATCGGTCTTTCATTGTAAATGATCTAGCTGTACTGGTTCACGAGTTAGCAATTTTCCCGCCAAAATTTCACATGCCCACATATAAGAACCGAGCATGCTTAGGAAATAAATCTGAAATCCTTAACTTGCACGTAAGCAGGGAACATTCTTTTAAAATTTCAGCTTTTCAGCATTTCTGGTTCCCGAACTAGCAATTTTTTCGCCAAAATTTTAATTTACCCACACTTTCGGCTCAGACATGCGTCAAAATTGGCGCCACTTTCCTGGGATAATGCTTGGGCCCACTGGCAAAATTTCAGCGTCAAAGCTTGTCCAGTTGCCGGGGAATATCCGGACATACATACATACCATGGGGCCGTTACAATATTCATCTTAGCACTCGCATAAATATGCGAAAACGCATAAACCCAGGCTGGAACGCCCCAGGCGACTGGTGTGATCATGCGTTTCTGCGCCAAACTTGAAGTAGTTAGGTTGTTGACTGCATGAATGGTCCTTGTGCGCTCACTATCGTAAATTGTCGTAAATTTTGCATAAACGAAAGTAAATAATTTTCGCTTAACGGTCGTTTTTATGCACCAGGCGAGCCGGTGCGATCATGCGTTTTTGCATCAAAACTAAAGTAAAAGTATTGCCCGA